GGCGGAAGCGGCTTTATCCGCTCTCTCTCTGTCTCTCTTCTCCGAGGTCCTGCCAAGGCACCATGTTTGTCCTGGTGGAAATGACTGACACTGTCAGGATTCCGCCCTGGCAGTTCGAGAGGAAACTCAACGAGTCCATTGCCGAAGAGCTAAACAAAAAGTTGGCCAACAAGGTAAAAGGGGGCTGACACCTGAACGGTGATGGAGGCTTCCTCGCATCCCTCTCTGACTGCATGTGCCTTACTCTGTCTGTTCCTGATGAGAAATGTATGTGGAATATCAGCCTAGTTTGGAGGTGAGGGCCATCCTGGAGACTGAAGTATCAGAGACTGCAAACAGACAGCTGTGTATCATCTTGGGTGTAGTTTTTTCTTTTTCCTACTATAATGCAGCAATGGGAAGATATGGAGATGCCAGATGTGGTGGAGATGTGTTGAAGAGAAATGAGAGTAGCTGCTATTTTGTGTAGCGTTGCAAGCCGAGACACAGTGAAAAAATGAGAACAAACTAATCTGCCAAAGGGGAAGTTTAAAATACAATGGAGATAAATGCAGAGATAAAAAAAAAATGAGTTAAATGAAGGAGAACAGTAAAAGAACTGGAGGTGACAGTATTTTAAGTACAGTATGGTCACGAGAAGCTGTGTCAGATACAAAAAGCATTATGTCACAGGTCAGGAGGTCGCAGTTTCTCTGTGCAGCCCCTGAGACTGTGATTAACATGCAGCTTTCAGCATGAGGCAGGTGCAAAACTCAGAACGTAGCTGGCGAATGTGAAGGGAGCTCAAAAAAGCAACCAAATCCATCCAGGGTTGTGGAGAGGAGATTGAATCAGACAGGTTTTGGAGAACAAACTGGTATCCTCTGATGACCAATGGGTGCCCCAAGCTCAGCAGGCTGTGAAGCTGTCAGAAATGACAAAGGAAGCAAGAGTACCCACAGATCTTATAACTTGAGACAAAAGCAAGCCTTGAGGCTCCTTGGAGTGAAACTTTAGCAAGAAATTTATTTGGCCGTTAGACAGGTTATGAGGTCGGTGAGGGATGCCTGTCCCTTCCTATGGGCAAGTGTTTGCCACCTTGGCCAGTCAAGATTTTTCATCACTGACAATCACCCCTAGAGCTTGGGTTTGTAGCAGTGCACTGCCAGCAGTGCCAGTAAACACATCCTCCTGCAACACTTGAATAAGGGAGAGGTTTTAGGTTACTTTAAGTAGTTAGATGGGGGAGCCGGGGCTGTTGGAGAGTACCAAAACATCCCCCTTCCATCTTGTCATTCTTGCATTGCTTTTCTTAAAAAAAAAAAAAAAAAGTGCAGAAATAAATTTGAAAAGAGTTAATCTGATAGACTGCTTGATTTGCTGTTTTTGTTTATTTTATTTTTTGCTTTGAGCAGGTTGTGTACAACGTCGGCCTCTGTATCTGCCTGTATGATATTACAAAGCTGGAGGATTCATACATATTCCCTGGAGATGGTGCTTCACATACCAAAGGTCTCTTCTTGCCCTCAGTTATATCGTTTTGCAGAATGTTAGTGACCTAGAAAGTAAACTCAGTTCAACTGTTACGTAAATTAAATTTAAAGGAATTTAATGAAGGTCACAGCCTTAACTGTGTCTTTATAGGAGACCATGAAGAACATAGTAGGAGTCTTTCCTTTGCCTTTTTTTTTTTCCCCTCTCCTTGTAACAAATGCAGCTTTAAGCACCTGGTCCTGTCTACCCTCACCGGCAGTCCATCTCCTTTTATTTTTTTTCGACTAGCGGCATAGCTCTTGGATAAGGAAGAGGACTAATTGAATTTAAAATGATTGGAAATCTGCAAAAAATAATTTGTATTAATAGTCTTCTGTTTTTTTCCATTGATTTTTTTCTTTTGAAGCTTATTTTCTCCAGCCAAAAAGTGAAACGTGTTTCTAAATATAGCCTTCACACAACATTTGATGCTATTTTCCTAACTGGGACTTTTGCTACTTTTTTTTTTCCCCTCCTCTGAGGGTTAGGCAGATCTGGTTCAGCATATACTTATGGTTGTTTTCTTTTTGCTTGTTTGTTTTATTTTTGTTTATAAAACAACATTTTTTTTTTGCTTTTGACTTTTGTCAGATCTGTCTAAATGAAACCTAGAAATAAATGCATAAGAGCTCTTTTTTTTTTTGTTAAAATGAACTGCAGAGATGCATTTTTCTAGCTTCAGCTTTCAATGCAGAAGTGTGGCTGGAGCACATTAACTGTTTCCTGTTTGAAAGGAACTGATCTGACTATATGGGGCTACCATACTCTTAAGTTTTAGTTCTCTTTACCTACAAATAAAAGCTGGTGTAAGACAGCAGGACAATAACAGATTTCTTGATTACTTACTTTGATTTTCATTCAGCTTCTTAACTTTACAATAGTCCTTGAACTGAATCAAGACAATGTTTTTTTTTCTTTGAGTTTGTAACAGAGTCTCCTGCTTTCAGAATCTTTCGAAATTTTAATAAATCTTGATGTCTAGTAATAAGTCCTTTTCTAGTGTAGTAGCCTGGCTTTCTGTAAAGCAGCAGCACTGAGTATGGACAGCTAAAATGATGCTAAATAGCTCATAAGCATTAGTTGACTGCGATTGTCATAAGCGTTTTGCATTTATAAGAAAAATATACTTAGAAACATTTTTATTTAACCTGTTTGAAAAATCTAGTTATGTTAAAGTAGCTTAGTTGCTCTGTTATGTTAGGTATCAAATTTTTCAGGAGATGAAAATACAGTGTTGCTGTTAGAGGTATTATGGGAAAGTATCATTTCAGCTGATACTTTGTGCCTAGCATTGTGTTAGAACACTTGCAGCTGAAGCAGAGGCCCTGCTCCATGTTCTTCACTTTAGTAAGTTTTATTCTGTGAATTTCAATTACTGTAAGTTTGAAGAGCAGAGGACAAGAACCTGACAACCAGCTGCTGTCGTAATTCATACAAAGCACAGCTAGGTATTGGAACACTTACTCCTGTTTTCCTGATGTAATTGTTCCTGCAAAAAAGGGATAAACTCGATGCAGTATTTCAGAGAGCAGATAGGAGTGGGATTTTGTTTTAATGGCTGCCGCCCTGTGGAAGGCGCGTGATTCACTCTTGTGGACATAACACTAACGATCTGTTTTCTTTTTAGTGCATTTCCGCTATGTGGTCTTCCATCCCTTCCTGGATGAAATTCTGATTGGAGAAATTAAAAGCTGCAGTCAGGATGGCGTTCACGGTAAACTGGCACTTCTGACACTGGGTGCATGAGAGCTGCAGAGCATTTGGCCTTACCGAGAGACTATGATTTCAGGTTGCATAATGTTATGTGTGGGCTGGCTAAAGGCTTCTACTGGCCTCTAGCACTGCTCTAGTCTAAAAATAGTCAGTAGTTTGAGCCTGGCAGCTTCTGCTGCACTTGGCTTTGTCTGTACTGCCCCCCTGCCTTTTGTCATTCATGCGTGCCCAAGAAGAACAAGGAGATAAACCCATCTGGAGCATACACTGGATTTATCTTCTCACATCACTGAACAGAGGTTGTTTGTTTAAAGTGGCAGTAGTGAATCATGTTGCTGTGAAATATCTTTCTCATATTTTTGTGAAAAATCCATGGTCATTTCTTGTATCTGAGAAGGTGGGAGGGAAACTTCTCTCCTAGCACAAAGAGCTGTCACATCCATGAAACACGTAGCCAGTGAGCTGCCTTCCTTTTCTGGAGGGGTTTTCCATGCAAGGAAGCTCCTGTGCTCTGCAGTTTAGATTAGGACAAGGAGATTATAGCGTGTGGGCTTGTTACTGAATTTGGGCAGTTCTGCTACCTGATAATACTCAACATGGTGAAATATCAGAATCTCAAGGGAAGGGTTTTGTTCTAGCTTTATATTGGTTCTTATTTAATGTGTTACATCTGTAATTGCCAAACTATTTTCTGTCTCAGACCTCTTGAGTATCTGACTCATTTCTTGGAAGGCTTTCATTGCTGACCTGACTCCAAAGAGCCTTTTCCAATGAATGTGAAGACTGTGCCCTCTGTTGCTTTATGTGCTTTGAGCTGGTGATTGCCTTCCTGCCACCTGAAATGGAATATTGTGACTCAAGGAATAATCCCTACATAATCTCACATGCCCTTCCTGAAAGAGGAAGGATAATGAGCCTAGGAATTTGATTTAGGGATTGCTACGGTATGTAAGTTGTGAAGAACATTCTCAGTTTTTATCAAATTCTTTCCTTCGCAGTTTCTCTTGGATTCTTTGATGATATTGTTATCCCTCCAGAATCCCTGCAGCAGCCGGCTAAATTGTATCCTTTTTGCACTTCCATAACTTTGCTACTTCCCTTCAAAAGCTAGTGCAGGGGTGTCCCAGGGGCAGTCTCAGCTGTAGCAGGCAAGAATCAATGGCAGAGTCTGGGCTGCTCTGTAAGGCAAGTCCTGCAGGCCGTTATCACAACCAGGCAAGTGGTGCACTTGCTTTGTGGGGTTGTCATGCCAGCCAGTGGAAATGAATAGCGGCGTCCCTCAAACAACTGCTTTGGGATTCCTGCCTCTAGCCTTGGCTGCTGCTAAAAACAGAATGCAGTTTTTCCTGCACCATATAACATCTAGCTATTTGGTGTGTCTAATATACTTACTTTCAGTAGGTGATGTAGGTTGCTCTTACGCTTGAGGGTTTTGATTTTTTTTTTTTTGGAGGGGGGGAGGGGGAAAGGGTTGTACCTCCCATCAGCATGTACCTTGAAGGAGGAAAATCCAAGAAAAGATTGGAGTCCTGGAACGTGCAGAAGATGGTTGAGGCCAGTAAACTGCAGTTAGAGAAGTAATTGTGAAAGGCTTCTTGAATCAAGAGTTTCTTCTCCAAAGCAAGTGCCTTGTTGGGTAGGCTGCTAAGCATTTTCTGTGCTGCCTGTTTCTGTCCTTCACCCTTGGGCTGGCCAGCGATGAAGCAGAGCAGGTGTGGGTGTGGGAGTATGAAACAGAAGAGGGGGCTCACGACCTGTACATGGACATTGGGGAGGAGATCCGCTTCCGCGTCATGGATGAAACGTTTGTTGATACGTCCCCTACGGGGCCGAGCTCAGCAGAGGCTTCCACTTCAAATGCTACAGAAGAAGTCCAGAAGAAAGAGGCACCGTACACCCTTGTGGTAATTATGTGTACAGTTCACACAGCTTTGTGGTTTATTCTGTGTCTAAAATAACATCCCTTTTCCAAGCAGTTGTTTCCAAGCAACTGGTTCATTTAAGTTGACCAGGAAGCAATGAAAATCACAGAATTAAAGGGGTGGAAGATGAGAGAAATGAGATGTGTGTGAGCACGTTCTTGTGGTCAGTTTGGATTTGCTGTGTTTTCTTTGTAACAAATCGTAGTTGTTAGTGGAGTTAAACCCTGGGGGGCTGATTTAAAATGCTTTAAATGTAGGAACTGTGGATAAAAATGAACATACAAGGAATACAGAACTAGGAGAACCACTTCAAGGCTCACACAACAGTCTTTTCCCCTGCAGTGTTCTGGCATAAGAACCGAGTTCAATATAATAGAAGGACAGGAGTAAACAGTGAAATCTCACAGTTTTCTTGCAATGAGAATCAGATTAGTATGAGAGTATGTTGGGCAGTGAGCACAGTCGGGAAATGGAATGAGCAAGTGCTTGATTTTCAAGTGGTGAACGTTTGGTGTGGCACTGTCAAAGATTAAAGGAATTTGTATCAGTTTGTATCATTCTGACAGGAAAAAAGTGAATGCCTCATCATCAGTACCCAGGGGAAGGGGAGTGGATTTATATTTTTATGCATTTACTCCTATATTCTCTTTTCAGTTTAAAATCACATGCTCTCTTTTTTTCTCTGTGAACAGGGATCAATCAGTGAACCTGGCTTGGGCCTCTTGTCATGGTGGACAAACAGTTAGCTTCAAACGGAACGCGCTCTGCAGAAGGTCCTTTTGGTGGATGCTTTGGGGGATTAAGGTATCCTGCTGGTGCTCATGGCTTCAATGAAGCTGAACGAGAAATTAGACCTGCCACTTTCTGTTTCCCCTTCAGCTTCTAACCTGCCAGATCCAAGGCAGTCACTTCCAAGAAATGTCTTTACTGAGATATAGAAGTCAAATTACAGGCCAGCAGAAATTGAGCCCAGCAGAAACAAACTCAGCTGGAGCTTTGGTCTCCCATGTGGGAGGCAAAACTGGGGATCTTTAGGGAATTGACTTCAGTGAATGAAAGCAGAAGAAAATGCCTGTGTGGAGAAATGCTTCCTTGGCTGAGAGCTTGGTCTCGGAGGTGCAGAACTTGCCCTTCCTCTGACAGGATACAGAGCAGGCTCTTGCTATGCAGGTGCTGCCAGAAGGAACAGCAAAATCCTAGAGGCAACAGAGGTGGGGGCCTCTCACCACTTGGGAAGAGCTACCTCTGGAAGGGCAAGGAAGCCTGGGATAATGTTCTCCTAAGAATGGGACCTTCCTAAAAATGGATTCACGGATGAAGTCAGTCCAAGAAAACTAGAATGAGAGTAATTTACCCCAAAATAACTTAGTTAATGTGAAGATGACCACTGTGGAAAGCTATCAGCTGCTGATTATGGTGAATGGATATTAAGTGGGTTGTTTTTATGCCAGCTAAGTTAAACTAGATTTTGAGTGAAAATATGTAATTATGAACTGAAACAAACCAATGTCTTTGGGTAAGCTGAATACTTGTTTGTGTGGGTGTGTTAATACCAGAGAAAGAATAAATAGTTAAAAAAAAAAAAAAAAAAAAAAAACACTCCCCCCCCCAGGCTGCCTTCCGGTACATATTGTGGAGAAATGCTAAGCTTCCTGGCTGGCAGGGAGAAAAAAAGTTGTCTCCTGGAGTTTAGCTACTTGTATTTCAGGGCAGACACTCTTTAGTGGGGAGACTAACACTTCACTGTGCTTGAGCAGCCAGTAACAAACAATTGCCATCAGCGTCTGTGACAGCAGTGAAAGGAAAGAGGGGAACAAACCAGTGAGGGAAATCTATGCAGGGCCCTGTGCCAAGAGGGTGATGTTGTGTGTAATTACAAAGCAGGCACATTTGGCAGGAAGGGGGTATAATTCCATGGGATAGCGGCTCTGCTAACCCCCAACTGTGAGAACAAAGCCTGAGTCACCAGTACCCTCCCTGCAGCGACGCTGCAACCCCTTAATTCCGAACGGTTATTCCTGGTGCATAGCTCTAATCAAAAGGAAACCCAGGATTCTTTAGCTTCGCATAGTAACAGAGGTCCATCTGCGCAGACAATAAGCTCCCTGAATGCTGGCTCTATAGCAGTGCTGCTGAGGCCTACAATCCTCCTGGCACTGTGGAAACAGTTTGCAGAAACCCCTAAGTGGCCTGGAGGGGGAGGGAATCCGCATGAAGGAGCTTAGAGCCTCAGTAGCCACAGCGACTTCACCTCAGACTGTCTGGGGGGACATGCATGGGGAGAAAAACCCCTTGGGCACCAAGGAAGGTGTTGTGCTCAACTTCCCCCTCATGGGATCAGAGCTACCAGGAGCTGGGCAAGGGTGCAGCTGGAGTGCTGATGGCCTCGTGTAAATGGACTGACAGTGAGACATCAAGGCTCTTGCTACAGCTGGTGAGCCAGGCTCAAGGAAGTCCCTTTCACTGCCTGAGTCAGGGAGGGAAGTCAGTTGCTCCTTGCACATTCAGCCTTCGCTGCGGCTGGCTGCAGTGTTCTGCACAGGAACATAGTTGTGAAGGAGGGACCAGTTTTGTGCCACTGGCAGTGGGTACAGTGCACAAGGCATCTGCTTCTACTGACTTTTGACCACTGCTTGGTCTGTGACTTTTTTTTATCCACTTGTTTCTGAATAGACTTATGTTTAGAATAAAAGCTGAGGATTCCATACCTTCCCATCTCCATAGAGAAGTTCTTTCCCTTCCTCCCAGCAAGGTTGAAGCAGGGGCTGAGGAGTATGATCATGAACACAAGAGACTTGAGGCAGAAAAGATGGTCACAGTCTTTTATTTTCATTTTAAGCCTTTAGCCATCAGTAAAGTGAATGGGCAGAAAACAACCAGTTGAGTGGACAAACCCACCTTAGCTGGTCATTTCTCCAAATATAAATAACTGTGGGGCAACTGAAATGGAGCCAAAATAGAAAAAGGGAGCGGGGGAATTTTTAAAAGACAAAAGTAAGCCTAGCTGCACTCCCTTTTCATACTGTCAGTGAAGAGGAAGTACCATAACAAAAAGGAAGCTATGGTTACATTTGATCAGACATTTATTCCAACAGTAGGCATGGAATTGCACTTTCATGAAAATGCCAAAGCTGAATCAAGTCCAGTGCACTGCGGGCAACGTGTGCACTTAAACTTCATTTCTGCTGCAGCTCCTTCATTCTGTTGAGGGCACTGCCAGCTTGAAACCACTCTATCTGTGACTCGTTGAAGGTGTGGTTCAACATGATTGTTTCTTGGCTCCCGTTGGGATGCTTGATGATGCATTTCAGAGGCTAAGGAAAGAAGACAGTTCTTATTTTCCCCATCCTTTTCCAGGGAGCAACTTAACCAAAGCTGCTCACAGCAAAACCTCTACACTGCTAGAGGACTTGGCCAATGGAACATTCCAGCCCCGTGAGGGCTTCACGTAGGAGAGCAGTCGTGGCTAGTTCCAGCGAGCACTTCTCATGCTTAAGGCAGCAAGTCCAGGAATTGAGACTATCCTGACACATATCCTGCTCTCCTGCAGCTATTCTGCTCTCTGGCCACCACTGCTGCAAGGTGCTCAGGCCTGGCTGCCAGGGTGGCCGTGCTGCTTCAGACCCCTAACACCACCCCACTCCACTCTGCCCTTTCCCCTCTACAGTCAGTGGGGCGTCTCTGCCCCTGGAGCGTGGGGACAAGGCAATGCAGACAAGTACCTTTCCAGGTGCAAAGTCTGCCAGCCCGACAATGCTTAGCTTGTCCACAGGATGGATCTTGTTGTAGTCCGCTGGATCGGCAAAGGTGAGAGGCAGCAGACCCTGCTTCTTCAGATTGGTTTCTGTGGAGAACAAACCACAAAGTTTGTGTTGAGGCCTGCTGTAGTGCACCGCAGGGGATCAAGATCACCTTCTGGGTGCTCAAGGCCTCTCACAGCAACATTCCAACAATAATTTTACTCTTTGTGTAGCAAAATCAGCGTCTCCACTTGTGGCACATCTAACTAGAGATGGAACCTCGCAAGAGGTACCATGCGACCTATCAGCAGATAGAGTTTCCTTTTCACCTCACAGCAAAACTCCTACAGGAAACCTCTCTTCCGCCCAAGCCAAGTACATATTAAATGCTGTTCATGCACGTCACAGGGACACATGACTTACCATGGATCCTGGCGAAGCTCTTGGTGATGATGACCCTGCCCCCCAGGTGACGTGGCTCCAACGCTGCATGCTCTCTGCTTGATCCTTCGCCGTAGTTTTCATCCCCAATAACTGCCCATTTGACACCCATTTTCTGTGACAAAAGGAACAAGTTTAGACATGTGTGGGCTAGTCACTCAAGTTAGGAGTTAACAAATACACATCTAATTTCACGGCTACGCTAATGACACTGTTGAGGAAGGCGCCCCCAGAAAACACCCTGGGTTCTGATGAAGGACAGAAATAAAGGAATTAGAGGCTCCAGAGCAGCTGGGCATTGCCATCCTTGGCCAACATGGGCTGAAGAGGACTGCCACGAGATCTAGAGCAAAGCCTGGCAGCCACCTTGCCCTCTGGGGTCTCATGGCAGGGCAGCATAAGCAAGCCATGATCCCTGCTCTCCTTCTGGAATCAACATCAAGAGCTGCAACTTCTGTCTGCTGGAAGAAAAAAGATCTTGGACCACTCTCAAGCTATGCAGTGGGTAAAAGGACATTTCCTGAGGAGGCAAGCCAAGTTTTAAAGAATGAATGAGACGAGATGAGATTTTTTTCTTAAAGCTCAGATTTGTCACAGGTGAGAGGCTCCAGCAGTTAAGACTTAGACACAGCTTGATGACACCAATATCTAACAAGGCATGTAGTGCTGAGAGGAGTTTGCCCCTCGGGTTTAAGATTTCTGGTGTCTTCTGGATCACAAGACCTTCCTCCCTCTTCTCCTCAGTGGGTAGAAGGATTATCTGCCATGGGAACCTCATCAGAACCAAGTCCTGAGAAAAAGCCTCAGTACTAACTGATTTCACAGCTGCTGTTAATTGAGAACAGCAAGAGACATGCTCTGCCTTGGCACAGACTGCAGAAAATGTAAACACCCTTACAGAACAGCTGCATGAGGAGAAAGTCTCACCTTATAGTAACGAGCTGTGTCTGGGACTGGCCCAAACTCCTGGGTCAACGCATTCCTCACAGAGTTGGCTTTGCCATTTTCAATGTTGATGGCACCAATGAGCAGGTTGTTGGAGATGTTGTCCAGATGGCCACGGAATTTGAGCCAGGGCCCAGCTGCAGATATATGGTCAGTGGTGCATTTCCCTTTTACCTAAAGGGGAGTAGAAGAGGTAAGTGTCTTGGGAAGAACCAGCAATTTGACCCTTCCTCAGCACTTTTTATTCTGAAGGATCTTCAGATCCCTTTTTAAAAGCAGTGACCTCAGACCATTGCATCTATTATAGAATCAAGGCAGCTCTAAAGCAGAATGCAACAACTGTTCTATATGCTTGGGGAAGGAAGAGCCTCCCTACTCTGAAGGGCAGTGTTACAGAAAAGCAGCTTAGCCATAACACCTCCTGCTATGTCCCTACCTCCCCAGCCACATGCACTTCAGGTACAAAAAGGAATTTAGTCCTTCCTGTTACAGCTCAGCCTCCCTGTTGGGGGAGTTTATCAAGGTCTGATTTGATTCCCAGAAGTTTGCAATTCACATGTAAACCTTCTCGGTCTACAGGAGCAGAACTCCCATCCAGAGATAACAGCCTTCCAACTGGCTGCCTCAAAGCACTTGCGAAGACCCAGGCATGTCAAAACGCTCAGGAACACAAGCACAGATCCATATGGAAAACAGCTCCAGGGAACGCCAGCAACTCCGCCAGTGAGAGGCAGTAACGCTCCGGAAGGGCACCGTTCCGGTGGGAGTGCAGTTCAGTGCCCAGTGCTCTCCTGATGGAAGTTTTCATTCTGTTGGCTCACCAAGGGC